TGGATGGAGGTTTGAGCAACCTGGTCTGCTGGAAGGTGTCCTTGCCCATGGTAGCAGGGTTGTAACTAGATAATCTATAAGGGCCCTTCCAACCCAAACCTTTCTGTGATTCTATGAACATTTTCAACTTAAAGGAAAGAAAAAAATAATCATTCTCAAGCATAACATTGTGTATTTGTTTGTTTTAAAAAACACCTACTTCACCTTTGTCATACTCTGTCTCTATCCAGGACAACAGATTCTGAAATATCACAAGATATCCACAGCTAACAGAAACATTAAGGTCTCCTTCCCCAGGCCCGTGGCAAGGGGAGGTACATGCTCCTGCCTTGCACGGCTTGTCACAGCTCTAAACACACCACAAGTTCACAGCTTAGGGGGCTCTTTCTCTCCCATCACCTCACCCTGCATTTCTCCCCAGCCCTTCTCTCTGCCCTTGGAATGTGCTCATCCGGTTCCCCTTGTGAAACATGTCTGTGCTCATCTTTGTTTCACACACAGTGTATTTGCAATCTGCTGTTTTACTCAATATGAGAATGAACACTGATGAAGCTGTTAGCAAGGTATGAGTGCCAGTGTGCAGCAGGGGGCTCTGCCCAGAATGGGTAAATCAACTCCAGCAACACCCTGTTTGCAACTATCAGTGGTGAATAGGGAAAGGGGAGTCATGCTGCTTCTGGTGTCAAATAATGCTGAAACCAGACTGGCTCATCAACCCCAAAGTTAAACATCCTGACAGGGAGGTGAAGGTGTGGCAGACCTGGGGAGTGCCTTGAGCAAACAAGTGATACTACTGATAACTTACCTAAAGCTGCTGAGCTGACACAGCTGGCCTGGAGACATCTGACTGACAGTCAATCCCTTTATACCATAAAAGCCCAGTCCAGCTCTTTAACAGCAGGGTTTTCTAATGCAGCCCTTCTTGGAGTGTGTGGAGATTCCTCCTCTGAGTAGGGATGCCTCTCAAGGTTACTCCTGGAAGCTGAGCAAAAGAGATTTGCCCACAGTTATTGGTATGGGTGAGTAACATCAGTCTTTACTTAATAATTGGTTTTGCTAGCTTTATTATAATTGCTTTAATATAACTGCTTCAATATTGCTTAAAAATAGTGTACTATACTAGCAGTTACAGCTTCTATATTGTGTAGTAAATAATTCTGATTGAGATCTTTTAGTCTAATCATTATGATAATAAACCATTTATTTTTATATAATTGTGTCTGGTTTGCCATCCTTAATCCTGCAGGACAAAGTTGTACAAAGGTTCAATTGCACCTATATAATCCTTTAGACATAAATCATTGTCAAAGTCTAGAGCTAAGATTGGACCCAGTCCAACCCAGACTCCTCTCTGAGAAGGAGTTCAGAAAGCAAGAGGATCCTTTATGTGCCTTGTGACTCAAAAGGAGAGTTTCTCTAATAAACTTTGCTGAAGGTCCCATTCTGCCTGTGACAGTGTTACACGGGTGACATGTTACGGTTGAGCCTGGGACCTTCCCTAGGGAGGTAACTGAAGGAGCTGTGCTGGACAGCATGGGTATAGTGAATATAAAATCAGAGCTAAATCCAGTATAGAGCAAGCAATGGTTGCCTCTACCACAAGACAAATGCTAAAGGCTCCAAAGCTGCTCTTGCTTTGGAGATAGGCAAAGGAGTATCTTTATTTACAAAAAACCCTCCACAACACGTACACCTATGCAAGGTCATTTAGACTGGAAAACCTTTGTTGTTGTTTTCAATTACATTTGTGCTAATAACCAATACTACACAATTGTAAAATTGTCTCTATTCTTAGGCCACATGACTACAAACGTCTTGTAGACAGAGGCTCCAGGGACAGCCACAAGACCCACCAAATGTTTAATATGCACAACATACTGCAAAGACACTGACAACTTGACAAAGTAACTCGGCATGGATGCCGTTACTGGTTGTGAATTCACACATCACATTCCCCTTCCTCCCAAACCTGAGACAGACAGACACGTTTTATATTTAGTATGAGAAACACACAGGATGGAAAGGAGCTCCTTGCCCTCCGTTAGGATCACTGACCAGTGTGCACTACCATAAATAGTCAAGATACATCTAAGCCTTTCCATAGGATGATTAAAAACACTGAAAAAATGCTGTTCTACACTCTGGGTGTGTTATAGTAATGGCAAAATATCTATCTGAAAGACAGCTATTTAAAAAATGAGACATGCTTTAGCATTGCCCAAGGCTTTAACAGCTTAGAGCACTTGTGTATGGCAACTAACCCCTTCTCTCGTGCCTGATTCCTTGGATTAGGGTCAGAAATAGTTAATGCATCGAGCTGAATGACAGATACACACCCACCAATAAATCACACAGACAAATGCTAACTTATCTGTCCCATGATATTTTGTTCAAAGTTCATGGCTGCTCTCAGGAAAACAAACCATCAAGTGCCTGTTAAACTGAGCTCTTTATTTAATGACCACTGTTAGTGGCAAACACATCAGCATTGCCTTTATATTTTAAAAACAATTTCTTTTCTAATAGATGCATGAAGAGATTTTTCAATAGAACTGGAGGTTGCAATTTTGATCCGACAAAATAATTGTTTCTTTTTTAGGATAAATTCACATTTCTCTTAAGACATTACATCAGTGTCCAGTTTTCACAGCCAGTAACATTGTGAGATATATTATACCTCTTTTTTCATGTATAGATATCAATAAAATTTCAAGGAAAAAGTATGATGTGAATACCAAAGAATCAAAACTATGCCTTCTAGTAAGGAGTTTCTTTTCCTTGGACATCATCAACATGAGTGAAAAGTGGTCAGAATTCCTAAGCTATATTTAATGCGGTTGGTATTTTTATGATCCAACCTGTATTCCAAGTAAAAAGAAATATCACACAATAAATGTAGTAACTTTTTCATATAATTAAGGTGAAACATTAATTAAGTTCAAGCACGGAATAAAACTTAAAAAATTACTTTCATAAAACCAGTTCATGATGATCAAAGTACAAATTAGTGGGACTGAGTTTGGCAGAACTAACATTTGAAACTAACAAGTATTTTTAACTCAAAACGTCAATAAAAGCACAGTACATTATTTCTTAAAAGAAAAAAGTTATGTTCTTGGTATAAAAAGAAACACAAAATGCAAGTTTTTTGTAAGTATTAAAACCTGTGTCTGTAACAATATTTCACTGTGAGAAACCTCATCTCTGAGACACACACATACATTTCCAGAACTGCATTCCTTAGCGCATATAGCCAGAGGGATAAACACAAAACTGGAGTAAACTTCTGCTATTAAGCTTGTGATAATCTCTCAGAAAAGTGAAATAACGGGGGTTTTTTTCTCAAGTTTTATTTACCTTTTTTAACCAATGTTATTCATATTTTTCGTTTCTTGTGATTCCGTGGTGAAATCCCCATTTACTTACAAGCCCAAGCAGAGGATGTGTAGAACGACTTGCTCGCCAGGACCAGGAGAGGGAGCTCAAATTAGTACTTTCCTTTATTAAGCTGAAGCAGCATGTAACGGTGTAGAACTTAACGGTAAAGGTACTTGTAAAACATTAATTAGACACTTTGATGTATTATGCATTTAAATTAAAGTAACAGATTCACATCTCTGATTGGTATCTGTAGGAATGGCTGTATAAATCAGAGTTAAGGTAAATGGCTTTATCAAATCTTTGCATTTCAGCAACTGAGCCTCTCATTCCCTTCTCACTCAGATTCCAGCCCTCTCCATCAGCCACTGTACACCGCACGTGCACTCCTAAGAATTCTAGTTCCCTACCACAGCTGATATATGAACACAAAAGCAAGTTGCCCAGCACCAAATGCCTTCAAATTCACCTCTTTTCCTTTCCTAATCAGGCACAACAGCAGCATTCCTTCTGATGGGAATCAAAGCTTTGCAAGCTTCTCCCAGCTCTTGCTGTAAAGTCTCAGTACACACCTATCACTTGGAAAGCCTCCAGTCCAAGAGACATCTTCAAGTATTTTTAAGGACAAACTGACCTACACCTCTCTGTTTTCAAAGGAGACTCCAGCTCTGCTTTTGCCTCCTAAGCTGCACGCTCTGCCAATTACTCTGTCCCAAGTTCTTGCTGTGCTGCTTTGCGGAATTAAACCACCAAAGTTACCAAATTTTACATTTTCCTGACCACTACCTTTAATACAACATATGCTGCCACAGGTGTGAACACAGATAAAGAACACAAAAGCACTTCCCCTTGAGGTGATTCAGTCAGTGTTGGATAAGACATGATGCATCTGTTGGATAAATAAGTTTGTATCAAACACCATCTAATTATTTGTTTATATGCAATAAATAACATATCCATTTCCACTTCATGTTTTCAGAAGGTTAGTGTACTATGTTATGGCCAGTATCATATAAACAGAACTGGGAGAATGGTACCACTGGAGAAACTTGGGATAAAGCATTCAAGTAGCCAATAAGTATGGGAGGAAATGAGTTTACAACACCGCACATAAAAAAATGTTTATATTTTGGCAAGAACAGAGCCTAGAGAAGTGTGAGAGAAGAAGTGTATGTTTGAATTTTATGTAAAGGCAATGAAACCAAGAGAAAGGAAAAATGAACATTTGAAGAAAAGTTTTAAATGTCAGTATTAATAGAAAAAACACTCACCAAGTAGAAAATACATGAATGAGTTCTAAGGACTCTACAAATAAAGAAAGTGTGTCATAAAAGTCTAAGAATAAGACATATATTTTCTTTACCCTGCTAGAATGTAATACTTAAATCATGGTTATTTTCTCAGACCTTAAACAACAGTCCTGTAACTCTCTAAATACGATTTTCCATTCTCAAAGAAATATCTATGTAAGAGTTCTGGAGGTTAGAAACACATCAATTAAAGAACCAGTTTTATTACAAACTAATTAAAAATTAATTTCAGCAATACTGCAAAACAACAGAATTAAATTAATAAATCTAAGTAAGCAGGTAGGCACAGTGAAAAATACTCAACACAGCGATGAACAGTGTCGTAAATATTTATTTATTTATTAATCTCACGGCTTCTTTGACGGCACTGGACTTTTCTCTTTCCGTTTAGCAGCTTTCTCCTCTTTCAGCTGTAACAAAAAAAGACATAAACAGTGATTCAAGCATTGACTGGCAAGTCAGCTGGCAATACAATATTAAATCTCTAAAACCAGTCATAAATTTACCAGTGATTATAGAGAGCTAGAGACCATTATTAGCCCAGCCCAGCATTGCTCACTTTTGCACCAAAACATAAAGGAGCCCTTCCACAGCTCAATAGCTCCTCCCCTATTCAAGCCACGGCTGCCTCATCTCTGATAATGGTAATCTAGGTATTTATGTACCCCTCAAGGCCAGTGTGCCTCACAAATGTTCACGAGTTTATGCCTATGTCAATGAAAGTTAGAGGAATTTTATTACAGATGTCTAACAGACACAGACGAACCAACGTGCACTAAATCACATAGGAGTGGTGCTGAGGTAGATGCTGAGACTCCATCTCAGTGTGTTTTCACTCACCCACAAAGTCACAGCTTCCTCTCATAAGATTTTATCTACACAGTAGGCTCTTACAGCATGGTATGATTTACCAACACGTATACATGTAACTGCCACTTTGTAGTAAGACTATTAATCCAAATAAGATATATCTGCTCCTTTTAGAAGCAAAAGTTGTTCTCAAGTATTGTTATATTAGTGAATGAAATTCTATTTAAAACAATTATATGAAAGGGAAGCATGGAGCTTTGCATCTCATCTAACGTAAGATATCATGTTGCTATCAAAAATGCAAGAAAAAATAAAGTAATATTTTAACATGCTTTTTTTCTCCCCATAAAATAGTGTCAAAAGGAATCAAGGCCTCGGTCCTGCTTTGGATGTCTACAAATGTAGCCACTGCTAAGCAATCCTGTTGTTGGTCTATACAGGAACTTATTCTAACACATTTTTCCCTGTTGTGAGGCTTGAGGTTTGTATCTGAAATTCCTACTGCCTTCTCCAAAGAAAATAAAATCTTGGGAGGAAAAAGAAATGGAGGAATTTGGATTCGCTAGTAACATATTTGCTGTGAACTGATATTTGTAACATCAGACATATTTTGTACTGATTTCCAAAATAAAGAAAATTACTTCAAAAGTCACAAAGCTAGAACAGCTTCCTCATTAATAAACACTTTGTTGCAAACAGCAAACATAACAGCAGCTTAGATTTTAAAAATTACTTATGCAACATTGCCTTACAGAAGAATTCATAAACACTCAAGTGATAGTTCAGTTCAGACAGTGGAGCTATGGAGCTAGAGTGGCGAAAGAATAGGTATTTCAGCATGTAAGTAACCTTTCAGTATCTGAAGGGCCTACAAGGGAGTTGGAGAGGGACTCTTTATTTGGAACCGCAATGATAGGACAAGGGGTAATGGGTTCAAACGGAAGGAGGGAAAATTTAGGTTAGACATTAGGAAAAGTTTTTTTTACTGTGAGGGTGAGACACTGGCACAGGTTGCCCAGGGAGGTAGTGGCTGCCCCAACCCTGGTAAGTTTTCAAGGCCAGGCTGGATGAGGCCTTGAGCATCCTGGTCTAGTGGGGAGGTGTCCCTGCCCATGGCAGGGGGTGTTGGGACTAGATGATCTGTAAGATCCATTCCAACCCCTAAACTTCTATGATTCTATACCACAGGGCATTTAAGACAGTGGAGGAGGCACCTCTAAGGGGGTGATCAGATCATCTAAGACCAGATTTAGCCCAGCTACACAGATATTAATAAAAAACCAAACATCATAAAGTTTTATAAATGAGGTAGCAAAAGTCCTAAATGTCACAGGGAACTTTCTGTGAGTCTGCCCTGTTTTTCTCTTTGTCAAATAGCAAAATATTTTGGTTTACTGTAATGGAGAGTTACTTCAACGAAAGTCTGCCCAGTCTAAGTAAATGCCATCCCACATGTGAGTGACCTCTTAAATCCTGTAATAGCTCATAAATGTATTTAAAACTTTATGTCAAGAAGCAGGTGCTTTCTCAGGAACAAGAGAGCAAATTATATAATGCATTTATATGCCACGTAAATCATACATTTATCTTTTTTAGACATCTTCTTTGTGAAAGTGTATTTAACTAAGCAATAAATTTAGTAACGTGCCCGTTCTTGGTAACGTTTTTCAAAGTAAGCCATGTCATCAGCTTCTGAATGTCTTCCATGAGAAACTTGCCCTGTGGCACTTGAACTACCTGAAAAACAAAACAAAAACAATAACTCAAAACCTCTTTTTTCATTAATACTTGCTATTCTATTAGTTATGTTTTACATTTGGCAAAGCACATTTGAAATGAGAACTGACCCTTACAGGCAAGTGCACTGGGACCAAAGAGAAACCTCTTTAGTCTAGGCTAGCAGCTACTAGAAATTGTCTTGGGAGAAGTTCAACAGTTAAAGTAATTGCTAAGTTCTTATACTAAATAAGGGACATAAAATAAGCATAACTCATCCATAATTCCATGCAGAAAAGACTTGCTGGCAGAATGTAGTTTCAAAGGATTGTGCTGAATACATATGATCTGTTCAGATATGATGAGCTTTTAGTAGGAATTAAAAATTTTTAAAATTGATCCAATAAATACATGACACCACTAAGGGGGAGGATACCAAATGCTAGGAAAAAATCACATAATGAGCAAAAATAACAAACATTTAAAAAAAGTTATTCTGAGCAATACAAGTACATGTATGTTGTACTAACTTTTCACATAACAAGACTTCAATACTCATTTTTGTGTTTAACTTTGATTTTAGCCCTAAGCATCCTTCAGTTCATCAATAACATAAATTAATTTTATATTGAATTATTTTTGCATCTCAGTATTATCCCACTTATACACTACCTGCTATCTCTGAGATGGCTTGAGTGGAACTGGAAGGCCCCTGAAATGCTTTTAGAAATGGATGATCCATGCTGGTAACAGGGGCTTCTAAAAGTTCAGCAGAAGGAGCACCTGTTAGAAAATAAGTTGAATGAGAACAATAATTAACTTAATGAGATATATTCCTAAACTACATGATGAGGTCAAAGCAAGGCTACAGATTCATATCTACAAAGCTCAGACACAATAACTTGAGATAACAAAAGCATTACAAGGATGGCTTGAAAAGCAATGAAAAGTTTTGTTTCTTTAATTACTACAGTAATGTTGTAGTTTCTAGACTTAGACAAACCCAGGAAACCAGATCAGAATTTAGAAAAGAAATAATGAGTATATGGCAATAATAGATAAAACAGCTGAATAGATGTTTAGCATAAAAAACAAAGGTGACTTGTAGAACTTTTGGATAGACATGTTAGTTGGCCTTGAAATTTCTGTGGCTCTGTGATTTTGTGTCATTTAATAATGGATATATTTTGTCCTGAAATCTCTATCTATCTCTTTTATCTATTATTGCAGCATTAGCTTTGAGTTTGGAAAGAAAAATGCTGTAAATATATAACCAAGAAATACCTGGGAAGTATTAGACTGAAGGATTAACATAAATATAACATGGAAGTAGTAAGAGATAACAATAAGTTAGAGAGTTCTTTCTAAAGGATACGCTGCATTTCGACCAGAAGCAACTGGGCTGAACACCAGAATTGTTGCTGAAGAGTTATTTTATCAATTCACTACAGGAAGTTGGACTACATGGTCACTGTGATCTCTTCACATCTTATGACTGCTGGGAAAAAAAAATTCTGTCTGCAATCCTACCTCTATTGATCTAGTTTGCCTTCAAACTTTGAAAATTTACTTTGATTTAGTACTTTCCCAAACTGCTTAGGTGGAGAATTGAAATTTCACCTCAGGTCAGCTGCACTTACCTATTCCACTGTCATCGAGTCTCATGTAGCCTTCTGCTAGTGAGCTAAACCCGGTCAGTCCTCCCATAGCGGCGTAAGGAACATCCTGCCCCACAGGCTTCCCTTGGGCCAAGCGCTCCTCTTTAGTTTCCACAACTGTTTCATGAGCATATGTTGGCTGACCACACGCACAGGTAAAGCAGCTATGAAAGCCTGAACACTTGGAACCTAATAAACAAATAAATCAGTGAGATAATAATGGAATTTATACCTCATTGCAGACAAAAGGGTTTCCCTAAACTGATCTTGTCAACTAGAGTCATCAGTATCACTCTAGTGATCACTCTAGTCCAGTGTTGATAAATCCAATGTGATAGATAAATTGTAATTGAAAAAATACTGCTGCTGCACTTTAGGTATCTTATGCACTGTATTCTGCATCCAAACACAGAGTAGGAGTTCTGTTACCGAGGGGTGCCCAAAATTATATGACAAAGCCTTTAACATTTTCAAGAATGTGATCCTTGAACATAACAACTGCTCTTGTGAACTAGAGTTCCTTTGCTATGAAAGCATCCGGCCGTATAAAAATTGCATAAAAAAGAGAAAGGATGACTGTGGGGATTAGGTCATAGGGGCCAACCAGTCACAGGGTCACATTCAGTCAAGTTTCAAGTACCTCTGAGAATGGAGATTCCACCTCTCTGAGCAGCCTGGACCAATGCTGGAACAGATACTTCTTTTCAGATACCTAACCAGATTTCCTGTGTTGCAACTCATGTCCATTGCCATTAGTAACACCCCTCTCTATCCCTCCACTACAAAAAAATAAAAGGAAAAAAAATGCTGACACTGGGTAAAGATGAAAGCATGCCAGCATTTTGGCAGCATTGCCTCCAAAACTGTACAGCATGTGACAATGCTGCATGGCCAAAAAGCTTCAAATCGCAATTTATTATACAAATCACAATTTAAATATCATTTAATTTATCAAAATTATATCAGCAGTAAATAAAGACAGTTGCAACAGCAAAATTTGTTCTACATAAGAGCACTGTTAGACTGACTTTCTCGGTTTTTTCAAGCTTACATAGCCACAGGATGTAACTGAAATAGGGACATTCAGAAGCACAGAGTGAAGTGACCTATCTGCCCTAGCT